GCAATATTGTGTTTCTCCTATTTTAGAGAGAAGGAGAAGAGAGGAGAAGGGAATAAAGGGAACTATTCATAGAATCATGGCCTATGGAATCGGGAAAAGATATAAGTCATATAGTCAAGTCAAGCCCCCGTTTCATAGGTAAGGACACTGAACTAAGAGGCTAAATGACTTATTCAAATTCATACTACCCTTGACTTGCAGAGTCAAGTCTGGAACCCAGCTTTCCTACTCACATGCCAACGTTTGTTCCTTTCTTATGCTTCTACCTAATTCCTCCACCCCTCTCCACAATCCTCTGCCATACTTCCGGACATGTCAGGAAAGACTAGTCCCTGGAGAAGGACAAATGCTTAGGCTAGTAGAGGGGCAGCTGTGAAAAGAAGAAGGCTCTTTACAAGATGGATTGACACAGTGACTGCAACCATGGGCACAAGTATAGGAACAATTGTGAGGATGCTGCAGGACTGTGCAGTATTTCGTTCTGTTGTGCACAGGATCGCTACGAGTCAGAACCGACTCGATGGCACCTCACAACAACAATATTCCACAATCTCACATGTTAACTCAACCATTGCCTTATATACTGCATCTCTCTCTTCCATATATGTAATGCTCATCAAGGATTAAATTTCTACAGTATGTAAACGTACACCCAGTTGTAAAGAAACCCAATAATTTTAAGACATTAAGTCAGGGGATGGTTATTCATATAATTAGAGGATTGTTTGTCTTATAAGAAAATTCTCCAGTTTGTTAAATAGGAAGTTCCAGGTGGGATTAAGCTATAAAATCTTAATAAATTTATTGTTTAAACTAAACATGCACCCTTGTACTTATTGGTCATAAACATAAGATTGGAACTAGACTAGAACTGTTATAGAATCATTTTTTTAGATCATTTTATCGGGGGCTCATACAACTCGTATCACAATCCATACATACATCCATTGTGTCAAGCACATTTGTACATATGTTGCCATCATCATTTTTTTTCTACTTGAGCCCTTGGTATCAGCTCCTCGTCTTTCCCCTCCCTCTTCCTCCCTCCCTCGCTCATGAACCCTTGATAATTATAAATTATTATTATTTTGTCATGTCTTACACTGTCTGATATCTCCCTTTACCCCCTTGTCCCTTCACCTGGTAGGTCATTGTGATCAGTTCCCTCTTTCTCCCCCCACCTTCCCCTTACCCGCCTGGTATGGCTACTCTCAATATCAGTCCTGAGGAGTTTATCAGTCCTGTATTCTCTGTGTTTCCAGCTCTTATCTGTACCCATGTACATGCTCTGGTCTAACCAGATTTGTAAGGTAGAATTAGGGTCATGATAGTGGGGGGAGGAAGCATTAAAGAACCAGAGGAAAGCAGTATGTTTCAGCAGTGCTATACTGCTCCCTGACTGGCCCATCTTTTCCCCACGACTCTTCTGTAAGGGAATGTCCAATTGCTTACATCTCCATAAGGAAAGAGGGACCAGACTTCAACCCGGTGCTCCAAGACAAGAATGCAACACATTGGCATGAAGCAGGGAAACAATACAGAGGCCTGAGGGGCTGGACCCATTACCAACTAAGTGGGCAGCCCCTGCTCCCCCCAGAAGAATTCAATTCAGAGGACAGCACTGAAGCTGTTAGGTAGGTTAGCTAGAGCTGGGAATGTCGGTTAACCCGTGCCCAGAGGGCCAAGCTAGGGGAACAAAGCAGTGGCGCACTGCACATGCCCAGAGGCTCAGGGTTCCCAACGGTAGGCAGGGGTGGGCGTGAACCTGAATTGGCCCACCTAGGCCAGGTGAATTCAATTCAGCCAATGGGGTCGATCAGGGGTCTTCCACCACGCCTCCCCGTGGAATCCTTGAAACAGCAGAAGCCCGGAGTCGGGAGAGAGAACTTTAGAGGCTGAACTCTGGGAACTTTGGCAGCGCTCGGAGAGAGCTTTGGAGGGACTTTGGGACACTCTTGCGTGCCACCGAGCAGCTTCCAGCCAGCTGCAGGCCGGGAGGAGTCCTATGGGTGCCGTGTAAACCTGAAACTGCTTCTAATTCTCATAAAACTCACTTGGATCAGGAACCAGGCTTCGGCGTGAATTCTTTCTCGCGCGGAGCCAAGGACTGAGGTATAGATCTAGCCACAGAGAGATCTAACAAAGCTACAGGTCAAGGAGAGAGACATGTCTGATCAGAGCATACAGGAGCAAACGAGGGGGGAGGAAAAAAGAGTGGAGCACATCCTGGCCCAACAAGCCTTGAGGACGATATTTCTGCTCAGAGCAGCCAATGCAGAGAGGACCATAGGGCCATCCCCACCACAAGACACGACATTCCTCACTGACCCATAGCTCCACAGGGCACAACACTGGAGACACACGGCTGGAATTGTGCGCCCCCCTGACTCCACCACCCCGAGGGGAGACACTGGGGGCAAGCAACAGAGCAGCAAGGGAAGTAGAGCGATGAAGTTCCCAGGGAACACCAAAAATAGACTGTGGGGCCAGGGCGTGGCACCTTATCAGACTCAACTGGAAAACACTCATAAAGGACAACAAATAGACCTTGAATTATTTATAGGCTTTTCTTTTCTTGGTCGTTGGCTTTTTGTGGTGGTGGTGGTCGTAGTAACTATTGTTTTATTTTCTATTGTTGCTTTGTTTTGCTCAGTATTATGTTTGTGCATATTGTTGTCTCTGCATGTCTGGGATAAACAAGCTGGAAGAGAGAACAACGGGACGACAGTTTGGTGGGGGGGGGCATGGGAGAGAGGGAGGCAGGGGAAAGGAAGTGGGTGTTAACAAAACCAGGGACAAGGGAACAAGAGGTCTGATAGGGCTTGAATCAAGGTCAATGTAACTGAGAGGAATTCCTGAAACCCAAATGAACACTGGGCATGATAATGGGACAATAGGAAAGTAAAATGAAATAGAAGAAAGACCCTGGAGACAAAGGGCATTTATAGAGATCTAAATACAGGCATGTACATATGTAAATATATTTATATATGACGATGGGGAAATAGATCTATGTACATTTTTTATAGGTTTAGTATTAAGGAAGCAGATGGACATTGGGCCTCTACTCAAGTACTCCCTCAACACAAGAACACTTTGTTCTAATAATCCGGCCTTCTGAGATGCTCACCTTCCTGACACAATCGCTGAAGACAAATAGAAACATTTTTATCTAACCACTGCTCATAAGGAGCCCTATAATATTTTACTCAATCTTGCTTACACTTTGAGTCCTAGCACCACCTCTCCCCGCAAATCGACACAAGCCAAACGTTCCAGCTGACATTTCATACTCTTGAGAGGAAGAGAGAAATAACAGCTTCTTTTACTATGCTCACTTAAGAAGAGGTTGACTCCTCATCTAAGCTGAGCTCTAAGATTTGATGTCGATAACAATTTCTGAAAACTTTACTCTGGTGTAACCCTTTATAATTCACAAAACACTTCAATATATCGATCTCTTGTGGATGATAAGAATACAAAGGGTCTTAACAATTCATGGGAAAAAATGGAATTAAAAAATAATGAACCACTCTCTTGGGTAACATGAACAGACAGTTTACCAAAGAAGACATCCAGGCAGCCAACAAACGCAAAGAAATGCTCAAGATCACTAGCCATCCCAGAGATGCAAATCAAAACAACCCCGAGATCCCACCTCCCCCCAGAATTGAAAGCAAAGTTCAAAAAATCAGGAAAAAAAATGCTGGAGAGGATATGGAGCGACTGGAACCCTCATGCCCTGCTGGTGAGACTATAAAACCATATCAACCACTATGGAAAGTGGTAAGGCACTTGCTCAAACAATTGGGATTAGAAATTACCATATGAATAGAATGGAATTATCATAGCGATTTCACTACATGCTCTCAATCCTACAGAAATAGGGAACATATCAGGAGCAGGTGCATGCACACCCATGTTCATCACAAAAGCATGAAACCATCTAAATTCCCATCAGTAGAATAGATGAATAAACTGGTTGAAACACACTGGGGAACACTATGTGCATCCTTAAAGAATACCAATACCTCATAGCTTTGCAATACCTCATGACATGGAAGGATGGGTAGCGCATTAGGCTGAGTGGAGTTAGTCAAAAGCAAAAGGACAAAGATTGTATAAGCTGTTGTTAGAGAAAAAATCAACAAAAGGTTTTTCAAATCAAAAGAAGCAGACTTTGATGATGACCACCAGGGGTGGGAGGAGAAGGGAGCGGAAGCAATAGGCTAGAGGGTGGACAGGTGTTAACGTGGGTGAAGGGGAAGATAAAATCCTACAAGAGGGAGATGGGCAAAAGAGTGGGAAGGAGGAAACAGAACAGGCCATTGGGAGGTTTCATAAGCTGTTTACATGGCTGAATACAAAAATGATGATCTGATATGTAAACTCCCATCTAATTCACAATATAAGTGAAAAAGAAAACAAAGCTTTCCCAAGAAAATTTGAAGCATCCCCCCTCCACCCCACCCCCCACCTCCCAGCCAAGTGGAAACGAAAATGAGCAAGGGCCAGTAAGGTGCATAACATCAGTAGAACAATGAGCAGAAGGTGAAGAGAGGAGAAAACTAGGACCAGAAGCGAGGCGTTGTCCTTAAACTACAGTGACAGTTACAATAGTTCATTGAACAAATCTTTACCCCAACAATTTAAGATTCCCAACTTCCCGAAAACCTTCGTCCACTTGATGAAGAAACGCACTTCCTATCTGATTCTCATGTCTGCTTGCTATTTGTAAAGGAGAAGGAATTGCTTTCTCACACTATTGTCCCCAACCACCCTCACCCTCATCTAGCACCACCTCCTTCAAAATAATTGTTATCTGTAACTTTTCTTGGAAGAAACATCCTAAAGTTTTCTAGAAGCACTATTCAGTCCTTCAACCCAAATAACTAAGCTACATGATGGCAAAATTAAACAGTTCCTCCAAAAGCTTGCCCAGCTCCAGATCCTTGGGGGTGGGGGTGGGGCAGAAAATCACAAGAATTTCTGTTACATACCTCAACCTGTTGACAGATCTGTATTAGTTTGGCCATTTGATTTTCTAGTTCGCTGTTGCGCTTGACTAGGTTGGTGAGGTTCATCTCCAGAGTTTGCTGCCATCGCCAAGCGTGAAACCCGAGGAAAACCGGAATAGGAGGGAAAGAAGAACAGAAGTGCAATGAGCTTGAGAAGATCAGTCACTCGGTTGACAAATATTTCAAATATTCACAGACCACTTGTTATGTGCCAAGCACTGTTCTCAAGTCATGCTGTGAATTTGCTCCACGTTGTCATTATTAAGGAAAAGAACGCAACCATAATTGTGGCTATGGGAATTCAATGTCATTAACAACCTTATGTTTGCTCTAATATTTTTTGAACTTTGCAAATATTCCATAGTTATTTATCTTATCTTGCCCCCTTAATTATTCTTCCCTAGGACAAAGTGAGACTAGATGTTTTAAAAAGATAAGTAGACTAAGAATATTATATTAAAATATTACAACTTGGCGGATACTAGGCTAGGCAATCTGATATATGTCATTGATATTAGGTGCCATCGAGTCCGTTCTGACCCATAGTGACCCTATGCACAACAGAACAAAAGACCGCCCGGTCCTGCATTATCTTCACAATTGTTGTTATACTTGATCGCGCTCACTGTTGCAGCCACTGTGTCACTGACTAATCATGAAGTAGATGTCAACATTACAGAGATGAGAAAACTGAGCGACATAATGGGGCAAAACGTTTGGTACAGTCAGATGGCTGGTATGTGGCCAAACCAGGATTGATTGGAACAGCCAGTCCTCTAGCTCTCAGTCGCATTTTTACCTCAGTATTCCATGAGCTTGATCATCTTGTTAATAAGAGTTTCTAACCATAGGTAATTTCATACATTTTTAAAAAACATTTTATTAGGGGCTCATACAACTGTTATCGCAATCCATACACACATCAATTGTGTAAAGCGCATTTGTACATCATTCTCAAAACATTTTCTCTCCACTTAAACCCCCGACATTAGGTCCTCATTTTCCCCTCCCTCCCTGCTCCCCCTCCCTCATGAGCCCTTGATAGTTTATAAATTGGTATTTTGTCATATCTTGCCCTGTCCGACGTCTCCCTTCACCCACTTTTCGGTTGTCTGTCCCCCAGGGAGGAGGTCACATATAGTTCCCTGTAATCGGCTTCCTCTTTCCTACCGATTCTCCCTTTACCCTCCCTGTTTTGCCACTCACACCACTGGTCCTGTGGGGCTCATCTGCCCTGGATTCCCTGTATTTTCAGTTCCTATCTGTACCACTGTACATCCTCTGGTCTAGCCAGACTTGCAAGGTCGAATTTGAGTCATGGTAGTGGGAGTGGGGAGGAAACATTTAGGAACTAGAGGAAAGTTGTATTTCTCATTGTTGTTACATCGCACCCTGACTGGCTCGAAGCAACAAAGCCCACATGGAACAACATATCAACCTGTGTGATCACGGGGTGTCGAACGGATCACCGAAGATAAATGGGTGCATAAGCAAATGTGGCGAAGAAAGCTGATGGAGCCCGGCTATCAAAAAGTATAGCGTCTAGGGTCTTAAAGGCTTGAAGGTAATCAAGCGGCCATCAAGCTCAGAAGCAACATAGCCCACATGGAAGAAGCACACCAGCCTATGCAACCACGAGGTGTCGAAGGGATCAGGTCTAAGGCATCATCAGGACAAAAATCTTACCATAGTGAATGATGGGGGGAGTGCGAAGTGGAGATCCAAAGCTCATACATTTTTTAAAGTGCTATCTAAGTTCATAAAAACTATCACTTCTCTTCATAGCTTTCCTTCTTTGGCACAATGGAAATAAGCTAGACTTCAAATTACAAAGTATATTGTTTATCATAGCTTTCCTGTACAACATAATAATTTAAGGTACCTATGAGAAACAGTTGGCAAATCTGCTTAATATAATAATGTAGTTATAATACTATGCAAAACTCTAACACTGGGCATTTCTTCTGTGTCCTATAGGGTCAATGGCAGCTAGTGAGAAAATCTGTCTTCCTTATTATGGCTTTCGTTTATTTTAAGGTGTTTTTTTTTTACTTTGAAGCCCTAAATATATTTTCCTATATAATCTTCAAATGATACTAAGATTCCATCCCCCATATTTAGACTTTTAGCCCTCCATTTCCTGGGACAAGTGGTTACTTGGAAACCCTCAGGAGCAGTTCTACTCTGTCCTATGGCATCGCTATGAGAGTTGGAATTGATTTGATGGCAGTGAGTTCGGGTTCTTCCTTGTTTGTTTGTTTGCTTGGTTGGTTGTTGGTTTCTTTCTCCCTCTCTTTTTAAACTCATTCTTGTTAGAATCTCTTTCCAAATAATCACTTTGTAATTTTGTTGACCATCTGTCAATGTTTTGTATTTCATTAAGTTTTGTTCATCTCAATTATACATTTTCCAGGTTTTGATTTTTGGTTTGGGGTGTTTGGCCCTTTATAGCTCATTACATTTAAAACGTAGTTTGTTGTTTATCTTTTTGATATAAATGCATTTAAGGCTACACATTTTCCGTCAGCTATCCTTTAAGCTATATTTCTTAAGATTAGATAGATAGATAGATAGATAGATAGATAGATAGATAGATAGATAGATAGATATCCTAAAAAACAAAATTTGGTTTCAGAGCTTTGTATTTAAATTTTTTTGTGAAACAACCTTATCACCTTCAAAGTACTCTCTATTACACTTACTACATTTGTCAAATCTGTGATTCCATTCTTGGAAACATTTTTCAAACTCATCCGTTTGGATGGCTGACAGCACCTCTCTCATTTTTCCCTTCACCTCTTTTACATGGTCAAATCGCTGTCCTTTCAAGTCCCTCTTCATTTGCGGAAACAAAAAGAAGTCACATGAGCAAGGTCAGGTGAGTCAGGTGTGTGTGGGAAGAGAGGCATTCTGCTTTTTGCCAAAAACTGGTGCACTGAATGCCTGCGTGAGCAGCTGCATCATTGTGGTGGCAAAACCAGTCCCCCAGCTGCCACAAAGCAGGCCCATTTTATCACACACCGTTACGCAACCTTTTCAGAATCTCCAAATCAGTGGTTCTCAATCTGTGCGTTGCAACCACTTTGGGGGTCGAATGACCCTTTAACAGGGGTTGCCCAATTCATAACAGTAGCAAAATTACAGTTATGAAGTAGCAACGAAAATAATTTTATGGTTTGGGGGAGGTCATCACAACATGAGAAACTGTATTAAAGCGTGGAGGCGTTGGGAAGGTTGAGAACCACTGAGCAAAATAGAAAGCTTGATTTCTTGATTTTGACCCAGTGGAACGAACTCCAAATGCACTAACACCCTCACATCAAAAATACAAATGAGCATCATCTTGATCTTTGATTTCACTTCAATCTGGGGAGGAGTGAGGTGATGATGGTGTCTTCTAATGGCTTGATTGATGTTTGCTTTGGGGGTTGTAAGGATAGCAAATGTCTCATCACCAGTAATAACCTTGAAAAAAAAGCACTGTTTCCACTTGACACTTTTCCCTGGTCAGTCAGAACCTGAGACACAAATTTCGCAGCGACCCTTCTCATTCCCAAATCTTCTGCTAAAATTTGCTGAACCGAGCTCCAAGATAACCTCCTCATCTCTTCAATGGTCTGTCTTCGGTCTTCGAACACAACTGCACAAATTTTGTCAACATTTTCATCTGTTTGGGTAGTTGATGGACATCCAGAATGAGGTTTGTCATCAACCAACATTTCACCCTTTTTTGAAACGAGAAAACCCCTTGCACATTTGAGGTTTTCCCACAGCGCTGTCCTTGTAAGCTGTATTCAACATCACAACAGTTTCTGTGGCATTTTTCCTGAACATGAAACAAAATTTCATAACTGTACACTGTTTGCTTAAATTGGTCATCACAAAACATGAGGTTTGAGCAAAACTGCATTCATGACTGCATTCATGAAAAAATTCACTGTGACCAGAAAAAAACCTTCCCAGGTGACGCCACTGGGTGCATTAACTCAGAGCAAGTTGCTTGATGCTGGACTAGTGGGAAAAACAGGCACAGTGAAAGCTCTTCTCAGCAGAGATTTTTTCTGGGTTTTTTTGGGGGGGGTGCACCCAGTTTCAAAGACTTCACAATTCTATTGCCATTTTGTCTTCACTGTAGTGTATATTTCGTGAAAGTTATGAACATGTGTTTTTGGAATCTTACATTTGTGCTTTCTTATTAAATTACATGTGGATACACTTTAAAAATAAAATAAACAAAGAAATCTGATTCTTAAAAAATAATATAAACCAAAAAAATTGGATTTGGGTACAATTTCATGGGGGAAAGAAAAACTCTGTCATTACTTCAGTTGAGGAAGAAGCTCAGCTGGTGGTGTCAGGTGAGCATTGGACTGCTAATCACAAGGTAGGTGGTTCACCTCCATCAGCGGCTCCACAGGAGAAAGTTGAGGTTATCTACCTCGGAAATTCTATATAGGGTCAGAATCACTTCAATGGTAATGAGCCTGGAGTTTCTGGAGATTCCTTATATGAAAAACAGAAAGCTATTTCACTCTAGATGGATGATTAAGGGTTGTATTATCTCTCCCTTTTCCTGGGTCTTCAGCTTTGCCTGCTGCAATATCTTCTCAACGCGTCTCAACACCTCACAAAGTCAGTTCCAAATTTAATATCCCAACAGCTTGGCCCATATTCTGCCAGCATTTCTTCCCTTGATCATGCCCATTGCTTCCCTGCTGTCTCCATGATTCCCATGGTTTGTAGTTGTTCAAGGTTCATGCTTTTAGTTCAAGGGTGGTGGGGAAAGGACTCTCATGGCCCAAGTAGTGGTGAGTCCTTCATTCCTTGGCATTTACCCATCAATATATCTCAGAGGATATATGTATATGAATACATGTACTTCTAGGGTGGGTAGTTTAATTTCACTTGTTCTCAGATTGGATTAAGACAACCATCTTAACCACTGCTTTTCATCTTGCTAGATCTCGCTTCATTTCTTTGGGCTTCATCATCATTAAAGGAAAAATCATTTTTCACCATGTGTTCAGTTTTCCTTTGCCAAGGACACAGCGTCTCCTCTTAACTTCTTTAACCCTGCT